CCAAAGGACAATTAGCTCAGAAAGTGGGTCAAAGGCTCATTGGTGGCACCTTGACCAGGGCAGGATTCTGTGTGTCTGAGGACAATCTTAGTTCAGACCTGCACAACTTGTAAACTTCGGCACCGGATAGGTTAGAGGCGGACTGACGATGGTTGGTTGCCCAGGGTCACATGACAAATAGGAGAGTATGCAGTAGCAACCCTACATTTTTAGCAGGTGGCTGGAAATCCTTTGTTGGCTACAAGCAGCCTGTGGAGCATCCTCTGGCAGTAATTCTTCTAGTCTGTATCTTGCTCTAAGTCCCTGACCCTCAAATCTCAGGGATCGTTTGGGGCTTAATCCCTTTATGGATAATCTTTCTATGGCCTGGAGGCATCTATTACTCACCTACATTGTAATTCATTTGCCCTGAAGTTAGGGTTTGAGTGATTTCATCTGTGAGAGACTCATTCCAAGGCCATATAGTGGTGGCCACACCGGGCAGTGCCATCATTAAGCAAAACCTTATCAAGGGAGCTCTTTTCCCCTAGCATTTCCTTATAGGGTAGCAATTAAAGATTGATGTGGTGAAACTGAAGCTCAGCCCTTTATCAGAGTTCAGGACTTCAATGGCCTTGAATTCAATCTCCAAGGTTTTTCCTTAATATTTTTAAGTAGTCATTTTCCCACTCCATCAGTGCTTATACTAGAAATCTCTGAATATGAATTACATGGTCAAGAAAATGTTCAAAAGCTCACTTTGCTCAAGGACCCGTGTGGTCACTTCAAGCAAATGACCAAAAGCTAGCAGTTTGGGCACCTTGGGAAAGCTTCAGGCCTCAAAGCTCTGCCACCGAGGAGAAAAGAAAAGGCACCAGGACTTTGAGGCCTGTTATAGCCGGGTGACCCTGGGACAATACTGCTGTTAGATGTCAGCAATGGGGTTAGTGTCAAAGTGGGTGTTGAGAGCAGGGACCCAGGGTTGAAGCTGTGAGGAAAAGCAGCATTGGTAATAAAGTTCTCCATTCTTAGCAACTAGGTGCTAAGCTTATTGGTTTCTAAGCTACTCCAAGGAACCATAAATGCTATGACTGCCTTCTAAATTTCAGTGTTCCTGGACAAAGCCCCCCATCCCCACCTGGATCACTGGTACTTACCCTGGGTTGTAGGCTCTAATCCCAGCCCAGATAAAGAACCCAGAATTGTTAGGTAGTTGAGGGCCCTTCCCTCTGGTGGCCTCTAGAGTTGCTCTAGATTTCTGGTCTCACTCTGGGGTTGAGTCCCATCTTACCAGACCACTCCAGTTTACTCAACTTAGTGTGTTAGAGACAAAGCTCTGATTTACTCCTTCACTTTGTAGTTCAGGACCTTGTTCCTTCAGCAGGTCCCTGTTTGATACAGGAAAGTCTTACCTTCTATTTGAAACAGAAAATGATAAATACCTTGGTGATAAAAACCTTGGCACTCTCCATGCTTTTCCACCCACTACTGCACAGGACTCTTGGTACTGCTGCCCCTGCCTAGACTGAGGACCTTTTCCTCTTGATCATCACGTGCTGGTGCTCAAAAATCTGCTATTCCTTCTGTCCATATTCATCAATCTCTCCAACTTGGAGAGGTCTTCAGATGAAGTCCCAGGAGCAACATGACTCTAGACTAGTTAACACTTTTTCAGCTCTTTTGTTAGGTCCAGGTTTCTACTGGGGCCGTACAAAAGCACCTTTTCCCCACCTTTCTCCATTTGTCCCTTTTGACCTACAGTCATCAGTTTCTCAGTCAAGTTAGGGTGACTAAATTCCATTCACCTTTTTCCCACCTCAGAATGTGCATAATGTGCACCTCACACGTGGGCATCCTTCCACTGAGGCTTTTTGAGGCTGGGGAAAAATATTCATATCCCTTACCAGCTCTAGTCACGCTGTTCTTACTCCTGCTACCCTCCTTCTCTGGCTCAAGCTATGAAAATTACCCTGAGAACTGAGAAGCCTCAAGAAAGCACTAGAGACACAGGAAGAGGAGTGGGGCAAAACTCAAGTCTGTGATAGAGGAGAATTGGATTTAGAGCTAGATCAGAGCTCGAGAGACCATTTAGTATGACTCCTTTGTTTTACAGATGAGGACACAGGCCCAGGGAGCCAGAGTAACTGGCTGAAGGTCACATGGGTAATGGCCGCAATTTGAGTCCATAGCTGGTGCTCACCTGAAAAATAAACATGTTCTTGTTTCTTCCTCTGGTTCATCTGCTCTGTTCCTTCCTTTCAAGGTCACTCAGAGTAGCAAAGAGTACCCCTAGACAAAACACTGGCTCATTCATTCTATGGAAAATTTGGCATGTTGCATTTGGTTTGAGGAGGGGAAATCTGGTGGGCAAATTTGTTCCATAGACTCTAGAGAAGTCTCAATCTTCTGGACTGGGTCCAGTTCAATGCCTTGAAGCGTGTCTTAAGATACCTAGTTTCCCCAATTGAAAAAAAACCTGGCTTCCAGTTTTTCTTCTGGTGTTTATTTTTTGAGAGATAGTCCCTGCCCCACTCCCATTCCACCTGTCTTGTCTGTCTCATAATCCTTGACTTACAGGCAAAAGATGGTCAAGGCTGTCAGATCCTAAAGGTTTCTGCAAACATAGCCTTTTAAATTGCTGAAATAATTCCTCTCATGACTACTACCTTCCATTTCCTGAAAAATCTGATTTTAACCTGGCTGATTTTCCTGGTCTTAGTTTCTGTTCTTTTATGGTGGTGGGTGGTTGTTGTTTGTCCATTACTGAAGAGGACCATGATATCAGGGAGGTGATGTCATGACACGCAAGTGAATTAGATATGAGTGGGTTAGGGTTATTCAAAATCACAAGCCTCTCTTTCTCTGCCGGAGCCATCTGGGTCTAGTGGTGTGTGAGATGTGACCCTTACTCAAATTAAAAAAAAAAACTTAGAGGTATCTCACGATAGGAACAGAAAGTTTATTTTCAATTTCTGAGAATTGGGTGTCCCTCCACCAGTATATTCTGGTGAAGGGTGACAAAGTACAAAAGCAGAAAGCCAGGTTAAATAACCCTAATGGGAAAATCCCCCCTCCCACCAACTGACCAATATTTGGCTCACAATCTAAGCACAAAAATCTATCCCCAGAAACAGAGAACAAAGAAACAACATACGTATGTATATTTAGCACCTTAGTTTTACTGAGGTAGCGCCAAAATGAAACAATTAGAATGTGTGGTCAAGCTAGACACTGATGTGGCAAGGTCACTGTGACCAGAATGTAGCAACAGGATCCGGGGGGGAAGGGGGGTAGGTTTTCAGAGGTTTCAGACTTGGCAAACTTTAACTGCTGATGTGGTACTGAGAGAAAGGGGGAACTATAGAAATCTATACCTAATCCTATTTTGCCTCCTGAACTTATCTCAAAATTCAGGATAGTCTTATCCCAAACCTTAATTACACTGAGAAGTCTTCATAGGGACAAGATATGGATCAGGATGATTGGAGATGGCCCTGGATGCAGTGGGAGATCTTGGCCTTTTTAAGCTAAGGTGTTTAGTAGGTCTCAGTTTGACTGAGGCAAAACCTTTTCAATGATTAAGGCTAGGTAAGAAATGAAACAGTGAATAGTCTTTTTTTTAACTAGTAAAAAAAAATCAGACTGGGAGGATGATGGGGTGCTGATGTTGCCTCAGCAGTGAAAGGAGAGTTTTTAACCATAACCTTTCCAAAGCTTAGAGCCTGTCTATTACAGTCTTAAGGTTTTCTTCAGATGTCTTCCCTCCTAGCCAAAGAATCCAAATAAAATATTATATAACAATAACCTCCTTGTCTATGTCATGGTACCCATCCTTGACCAGTATGAATCCATCTTACAGTTATAAAATGGTACCACCACATTTATTCAAGGTTTAGGCCAAAGGTTCCCAAAATTATTTGGCTTACTACCCCCTTTTCAAAAGAAAATTGCTCCAGCCCCAGGAGCCTACTCTCTTTAACCCTTTAACAGTTTCTTTAAATTAGTGTCATTTCAAGAAACATGTAAAATATATATATATTTTAAAAGATGCATCTTAAATTGAATAATTTATTGTAAATTTGTGGGGTTTTTTCCTGCGTTGAACTTTTGATGATACAATATTGTCACGTAATTGTGTAGTATTGTATTGTAAACAAGTCATTACCTGCACATATTCCTGTTGATGGCATGCTGGACTTCCCAATAATGTGCAACATGCTCTCATGCCAACACTTACTTGTTAACACCTGTCCTCAGACTTGACCATTGATTGGTCATAACTTGCATTTTGTGCATTTATTTGGAAAATAATGTAATCACTACAACTTTAGCCCTGTTACACAACAGATGAAACATGTACAGAAAGTTTTTCAGAGTTTTCTTACCTTCTCTTTCCTTGCTTCCATCACCCTCTCATATGGAATCAATGCCCCCCAATTGCACCTGAGACTACTACCACCCTCCCCCCCAACATTCTAGCATCCTCCAAGGGGTGGTATCACCAACTTTGGGAACCTGTGGTAGGCAATTGAATAGTGCCATGGTTTCTTGCACTAACTTTCTATATAATTTAGCTCCAGTCATTAAGGGTACCCTCTCAATCTCTTGTACATCTTCTTAGCTTCCAGTAGTATGTGGTTGCTAAAGATTTCAGTGTTTGCCTAAAGATCATTGGCTCCTTGGGATTCTGGTGCCAAGTGACTGGACTAAATGTTTTTACGGAAATGAGTATTTGCTTCTTCTGCTTACCAGTAGTCTTCTTCTGCCTATCAGTAGTCTGTCTTGTGACAAATTTTGACCCCACAAGTATTTAGCACCATATAGAGATGCTGCCATAGCCTAGATAAAATTGTGTCTTCTTGAAATTAAGACCATTATCTAATCTGTTGGATATGAACTTTTATTGTTAGTTCATTTTAGTCATGTCCAACTCTTCATGACTTCAAATCTTTGGGATTTGGGGTTTTCTTGGCAAAGGGAGCGGAGTGGCCTGCCATTTCCTTCTCCACCTTATTTTACAGATGAGGAAACTGAGGCAAACAGGGTTAAGTGACATAGCTTAAGAGAAGAGACTAGCTAAGAGAAGTTTGGAGTTACACTTCCACTTTTCTGTTTCAAAGAAAGAGATATCCTTTAACTATTCTATCTCCTGCATTAAACTTCACTGTCTTTACATACTGCAAGAGAAAGAATACAATGAATGTTACCAACTGCTGTGAAAATCCCATCCTTACAATATTCTTTCTCTTTCTGCTAAGACTGCATTGCTTAGAGAAGTTTGGAGTTACGCTTCCACTTTTCTGTTTCAAAGAAAGAGATATCTTTTAGCTCTTCTATTTCCTGCATTAAGCTTCACTGTCTTTACATATTGCAAGAGAAAGAATACAGGGAATGTTACCAACTGCTGAGAAAATCTCATTCTTACAATGCTGTTTCTGTATACTAGTGTTCTGCTAAGACTGCATTGCTTAGAGAAGTTTCAAGTTACACTTCCACTTTTCTGTTTCAAAGAAAGAGATATCTTTTAGCTATTCTATCTCCTACATTAAACTTCACTGTCTTTACATATTGCAAGCGAAAGAATACAAGGAATGTTGCCAACTGCTGGGTCACATAGCTGGTAAGTGTCTGTGGCCAGATTTGAACTAAGGAAGAAGAGTCTTCCTGACTCCAGGTGCAGTGCTCTATCTGCTGAGCCATCTAGCTGCTCTAGTGGAAATGAGTTTGATCACCATGACAGATATCGTGACTCTTGTGTTCTTAAGACATCACCAAGTCAGAGAGGTCCCAGCTCCTCATGGATGGGTCATTTTATGGCTTTAGGTGTTAAGGAAACTGCTTGAGGGCGGGAACTTTCTTTTTGTTTTCTTGGCATTTAGCACAGTGCCTGGAACATCGTAGGTGCTTAATAAATATATATTGATTAATTAATTGATCAAAGAAGGCAAGGGCCTATCTAGTCACAGGGAGAGCTTTATTGCTTTTTAGGGAAAACTAATCCCCATAAGGTATTGGGGGGGGGGAAGGAGGTGGAACAGAGAACCCTGAAAACAGTATCTGTACAGTCTTTTCAGGCAAAAATGATTTTGTTGTGAACCCTTCAGAATGAGGAAATGTATCCTGTATAGTCTTAGTTTTCCTGTCTGTAAAGTGTAGGGATTGGACCAAATTTTCTAATGATCCAATTCTAAGGGTTCTATGGTTCATTTCATTTTAGTCTGCTGGCCTAAAGCAGCATTTTGTGTGTGTGTGTGTGTGTGTGTGTGTGTGTGTGTGTGTTGGCCCAGTCTTTATTGTCTTGAATCTACAAATGAGTGATTTTTGTGTTAGTGACTGCATGACTGTTCAGTTTATAGTTAAACATATGGAAATACAAAAGTGATTTTCCATTATTTGCTGTGTATGCATAACTTGAAACTGCTACCTTCCCAATTCTCAGTAAGTGGGATGACTATTTCTCATTAAAACTATTATTTACTGATATTGGTTAAACGTGTTGGAGTGTGTTATGGGATGAGGAGTTGAAGTATATGTTCTATATCACAGACAAAACACCAATGCTTTGGTCAGACTGTTCTATTCTTGTAGTTGTCTCCCACTGAAAGGGTGAAGGTTCTCTGAGAAGGTACTATTAGTGCAATGTAAGGCCCCGATAGTAGGCCTTAGTGCTGGGAAGTTCTGCAGTGCTGTTTGTTTTTTGCACAGACGGAACTCATAGCACTGACTTTTGTAGACTTTTTACTACTTACTGATGGTGGCTGGAGTTCTGGTTTAGTTTTACTACTGAGCAAAGTCACTTGGAAAAAAAGAGTGACTGTCCCATACGTGAAGCAACAGGGAAAAGAATCACTGTCAAATTCACAAATTAGCTCTACCTGAGCCTTGAGTACTGTTATTATGAGGTCAAAATAATTTGTCACAAAGTTTCAGTAAACAAATACTTGTCTAATTCTAATGTAGGTGAAAAAATTCAAATGCTTTATCATTCATCAACCAACACTAATAACTTGAATGAAGATAGAAGGCTCTTTATATGTGTTCTTTATTTAACGTTTGGGTAGCCTCTACAATCATTGCCTCAGAGATCACAGGAACGCTAATAAGCTTTCTCTGTATTCTCTAAGCAGTGGTCAGTTTTTGCTTTGGGCAGGGGGCACAATTTTACAATACAACACAATAAAAAGCATTAGGCTAACCAATCTGAAATTTGCTTTCTAATTGTAGTTCTGCCTCCAACTTGCCGTACGGTCTTGAGCAAGGCATAAACTTGGGCCTTAGTTGTCTCATCTGTAAAATGAGTGGATTAGACAAGGTGACTCTACCCTTCAGCCCTAAAACTCTGTAGCACTCTACCCATGAAGGCCTGGAATGTTAGATGAAGTGACTATACCCTTCGAAAACTTTGACCATACCTGAGTTGAAATTTTTTAGTTGGTAGGGGCCATCTCTGTTTACTGATATGATTCTAGGCTTCTTTACTCATGGGGAATAGTTTCTTCAGTCAAGCAGAGCTCAGGATGATCCCAAGGTATCAGGAGAGACTAAGCAACCTCAGGATTCCATTCCTGTTCACAAGGCCTTGCAGGCTTATTATAATGCTAGCCATTAGTCTTCCTGACTTAGGACTCCTGGGCTGATCTATGCAATATTAATGAGGCATTTAGTCTCAATCAAGGAGCTCTCTAAGAATATGCATTTACTTCTAATGGGTTATGCAGTTAAATTAATAATACTGTTTAATCTTTTTATTTTGGCTAGAGTGATGTATGGTGACTGGCTTGGTTTTCTTTTTTTCCTGCTTCCACTTCTAATACCCTGACCAGAGTTATAATGGGCTGAATAGTTGTGTTTTTCTTAAGCCTGCTAATTAATGAAGTGACTCAGTCAGCACTGCAGGCTTTCACATACACATGCTTCTCAACCTACATCATGACGGGGGTGGGGGGGGAGACTGAGTTCCAGTTCTGCCATTTAATAGCTGGATGACCAGGGAGAAGTCACCAAACTTGTCTGAACATTAATTTGCAGTTATAAAATGAGGGGCTTGGACATTTTGACAGGGCAAAGGGAGAGAAGAGGCAGAAAGAGGGATCCATTGATCCAAGTAGTCTATAGCAGAAAATCATCATGCAGTGTAGTGGTTCATACATGGGATCTCAGCTACTGGGAGGCTGAGACTAAACTGGTGGGTCTTTTGGTCTTGGGAGTTCTGAGATTCAGTGGGCAATGCCCATTATTAGCCCCAGAGGGTATGGGAGGAACACCCAGCCCAGGTTGGAAATGCAGGAAATCAAAGTGTTAGTAAGAGTAGGATTGGGCCCATGAGAAGCCTTCATAATTTTCAGCTTGGGCAAGGCAGAGAGACCTAGTCTTTCAAGAAAAACACTCAGGGGGGAGGAGCCAAGATGGTGGAGTAAAAGCAGTGACTTGTTTGAGCTGTCTCCAACACCCCTCCAAATACCTGTAAAAATGGCTCTAAACAAATCCTAGAGCAGCAAAACCCACAAAAAGACAGAGTGAAACAAATTTCCAGCCCAAGACAACCTGGATGGTTGATTGAAAAGATCTGTTGTGCTGGGTTGGGAGAGGAGCACAGTTTTGCGTGGATCATGCAGGCTGCACAGGCAAAGACCAGGCCTCAGTGAACCTGGAGCAATCCTCACGGGGTTGAATCAAGGGGAGCTGTGGTGGTTTCCAGACTTCTCAACCCACAAATACCAAAGTTAACTAAGAAGGTCAATAAGAAAGGTCTGTCCCTCAGTGAGAGAAGAGTTCAGTCTGGCCCCAGTCCCAGTGCAGCCCCAGCGTGGCAGCTGCTTCTGGAGCTCTTAGCCCACAGATGGAGGGGGAATCGAGCAGCTAATCAGAGGAGGATTGCAGGAATCTCTTTGCTGGTGCTGAGGCAGGATTCTCTTGCTTTGCCTGTGCTTGGATCTGGGTCACTGTTCTGGGTGGAAGTCCTAGGGCAAGGAGAAGCACTTGTGTGGTGGAGCTTGTGGGGACAGGGAAGAGAGAATCCTTCTCACAGTTCCAAAGTTGAAAAGAGTGTTTGTGGTCATTCATAGACTAGAGCACAGACCCAGGAAAGGAGTGAACACCTCGCCCTTGATCTTACCACCTTGGAAGAACTGAAAATTTAAAAGTCCCTAGAAGTATCTCTGAAAACAGCTATACAAAACCCCTGAAGCATGGGATAGTACGCTCTCCACACTGGAAGCAGACCTGTACCTTAACAAAGAAGTTAAAATTGAAGTAATTGGCTGGGATCATGAGCAAACAAAGCAAAAAAGTCAGACCATAGAATCTTACTTTTAGTGACAAAGAAAATCAAAACATACAACCAAAAGAAGACAACAAAGTCAAAGCTCCTACATCCAAAGCCTCCAAGAAAAATACGAATCAGTCCCAGGCCATGGAAGAACTCAAAAATAATTTTAAGAAGCAAGTAAGAGAAGTAGAGGAAAAACTGGGAAGAGAAATGAGAGTGATGCAAGAAAATCATGAAAAATTAGTCAACAGCTTGCTAAAGGAGACCCCAAAAAATACTGAAGAGGGGGAAGAAAATAACACCTTAAAAAATAACCTAACCCAAATGGCAAAACAGGTCCAAAAAGCCAATGAGGAGAAGAATGCTTTAAAAAGCAGAATTGGCCAAACGGAAAGGAAGTCCAAAAGCTTACTGAAGAAAATACTTCCTTAAAAATTAGAATTGAACAATTGGAAGCTAGTGACTTTTTGAGAAATCAAGACATTGTAAAAACAAAACCAAAAGAATGAAAAAATAGAAGACAGTGCAAAATATGTCATTGGAAAAAATGACTGACTTGGAAAATATATCCAGGAGAGATAATTTAAAAATTATTGGACTCTCTGAAAGCCATGATCAAAAAAAAAAGCCTAGACATCATCTTTCAAGAAATTATCGAGGAAAACTGTCCTGATGTTCTAGAACCAGAGGGTAAAATAGAAATTGAAAGAATCCACTGATCTCCTCCTGAAAGAGATGCCCAAAGGAAAACTCCTAGGAATATTGTAGCC